TTTCTGTTTCTCATGTGTAATAATTGTGTATGAGGAGTGTTTTTTAAAAAAATAAATAAATACATAAGCCATACATTCAGGTAATCTTTTTAAAATACTCTGTTTTGACAAATCTGTTCACTGCTGTTCTGCCTTGGGGATAATCATACACTGAGGAGTCATATTCATGAATTCATACTACTTATTCTGTTCATGTCCATCCCTCTCTTTCCATTTCTCTTCTCGAAACAGCCATAGAACACATCTTTTTGCTAGTCATTGCAAGCAACATTCTTTAACTGCAGTGCACATATACTGCCCACTATTAAAGATAGGAAAGACAGTTATTCAGCTTCTAGTTCATTGTTTGGTTCTCATCTTTTTTCTCATGTGTGACAGAATTTTGTAGTCTGAAGGGGGTGAAAGTAAGCAAAACTGTAAAGAATATGAATAATGTGAAAGTGCACACAAACAACACAGAAAATACAAAAACAATAGGTTTTTGTGAACAAGTGAACTGGGGGGAACCTTTCCAAGAATGGATACAGTTTTCTTGTAGTTGACAATTCAATGAAGAACTGAGTCTGCAATCATTTTGAAAAAATCTTTTCTGTTTGGTTTAATTCCTATAAAAATCCATGGCCAATTTTCTCTGTCACTCAAAATGACCAGCCCTAGTCATTTTTTCATTCCAAAGATCAATCGGAGCATCAACAGGATCACCTGCCTTAGCATCAGGAAACTCTCTGAAAGCTATCAGGAATCCATCTGGATCCAGGATCCATAAGACTCCTGGTGCAAACCATCTTAATGGTCCCCAACCCCACCCCACCCATGCAGAGGCTCTGTGTCCCTCTGAGTCTAAACCCTAACAGATAGTAAACTACCCATGTCAATGGAACTACAGAAAGCTTCTCCACCTCCATATCACCATCATTCCATTGGGTATGAAAAAATTGGACAAAGTGTTGGTGGCACCAAAGACTACTTGGAAAAGACCCATAGCCATCCTGGAGGACATGAAGTTCTGCACCACTCCTGACAGAGCGACATCAGTAAAGACATTGAAGTTCCCCAGCACAATAATGCCTCTGAGGAAGTAGACTTTAGTTTACGAAAGCTCATGCTGCCAACTTATTTCATTCAGTTAGTCTTAAAGGTGCTAAAAAAAGCTCTCTACATACTGATTCTACAGACTAACATGACTATATCTTTGAATACCAGCACAAGTTGGGGTGGCCAGGGCCTTCAGCACCACCACTGATACCACTTCAGCCAACAAAGGAAAGAAGACCATTAAACATTTGGATGAGAAATACACCAACAAAATCCCTACATTGTTCCAGCTACCCATCTTCAAATACACAAATTCAAACCCAGCAGACTATAGAATGGGAATCCCAGTAGACCACCACAACTCCACCTCCCTATCTCCCAGGCCTTGCTTGCTTCTCTACAGAGAAGCCAGGCAGACAGAGCTGAGGTACAAATTTATTTCCCCAACTTCATCCAGCCAGGTTTATGTAATACAAGACAAGTTGGCATAATACTGTATGATCAAATCATGTGTCAAAGATGTTTTCCTATTTATGGACTTGGCATTGAATCAAGGTCTGCTATCAAGACTATTCAGATTATTTGAAGCATAGGAGAGTTTATGAATAATAAGTATTATTTGGCTGTCCCCGCTCCTGTGTTGGTATAACTGTCACCCCACCCCATGTTTGTCTCTGCCCATAACCTTACCTATGGCTACTCCCTGGCTTACTTGCCCTCTCCTGCTCTCTGTATCAGACATTATTTCTGCTGGCAGGTGTTAAAGACCACACACTTAAAAGAACTACCCCACACTTACAATACACTTAAAAGACCTTCCCCACCCTCCAGGACAGAGAAGATGGCCTTCAGTCTAGTCTCCTCTTTGGTGTCACCTTTTTCAGTGGCAACCCCACCAGTGGTGGACCAACTGCCCCAGACAACCAGCTAATATACCTGTTCAAACAGGAGACAGATGGTAAACTGGCTGGTGATTACTGCTGGGTAATTTGGCTCAGTACCTGTCTTAGAGGGGATTGATGACAAACACATAGAGCTTCACCATGGAGAGAGCAGACAGCAGCAAGTCCCCCATCATCCCTAGAGATGGTGGTCTTGCTTCTCCCTTAGTGTGCTGACTCCCCTGAGGCTGCCCTCATATAATTAAAGGCTGCCATAAGTCTTAAATTATCAGCCTTGCCCTTACTTTACTACATTTGCATCAATACCAAAACAGTGTGAACATTACTGTAAGCTGTCAGAAGACAAGATAAGGCTTAGATAGGGAATGTATTGCTAAACAAATCAAAACAAAAATAAAGTCTAATATTCCTTGAAATAGCCAATAGAAGACAATGGCCAACTTCAAAAGAACTAAAACACAGTTTATCAGATGAGAACAAACCTTGGCAGCTTTGTTATTCTGTTTAATAAGGCCCAGAATATACTGCAGGAGAGTGTTCAAGTTGCCATTATGTCAGTAGTAGTAGTTGCAAGGGGTTACCCAAAGTATGGTTACAGGTACATGCCGAGTTTCAGTAGGCATAGTCACATCAGATAAAAATATTTTACAGTCCAACACTCTCTCAGCCTCAGGGAAAGGTACAAGCAAACCTCCTCTGAATAAATCTTGCCAGGAAACCCCAATGATAAGTCCACCTTACAGTTGCCATAAGTTGGAAAGGACCTGAAGGCACACAACATCAACAACAACAACAGAGAACTCCCAGAGAGCCTGGATTGGCCAGGGTTCCTTAGACAGCTTGGGAGATGACGACAATGATGAAGATGATTATATGGATTTACACCTCAATGGATCCTTGTTTTAAAATGCCATATTCTTAAGCTTTTTGTGAAATTGAGAAACTTCTCCTTTGGGTTTGAAGATAGGAGTAAAGAAACTTACATCTTTTAGCCTTTCTTCTAATGAGCCAAAAGATTCCTGATCAATGTGGATCCTCATGCCAAATACAGGATTGTCATCATAACGTTCAAATTCAGGTGCTCCCCATGCCCCTTTCCTTTTCTGGTACAAATGTGAAAAGGAATTGGAAGCATTTCTTTACACATTTAAACTAATCATGTCTTGCTACTTATTGGTTAGAAATCATGCCTGTTTCACTGAACAGTGCCATAAATTAAATTCTGTTTACTCTTGTCAGACAGAGGAAAATTTAACCATGGAAACTGATACTTCCTGTCTTCTCATGGCTCTACTGAAGGAGCAAGAAGAAAAGGGAGAAATGTGATTCTGAGATTCCCTTACAGTTATCAGCTGTGTTCTAATGTTACAATCACTTGCTCTGATGTGGAAGTAAATAGCCACTGCTGTCTAAAAGTAACAAGATAAGGAAACAAAATAAATAGTTTACCATTCCATCAATAATCTGGATCCTGAGGATGATGGTTACCTCTTTGAGCAGCTAGTTCCTTCCTATCTTCCACAGGAGAAGGCAACATTCTTTGCCAAATTGCAAAGAATCCATAACAGTAGAAAGAATATAGTTAAATTTAAACCATAGAAGGTGCATGCAGTTTGATGCCACGTGAAGCTCAATACACTTCTTTGTGCTTCTGGCCAAAAATATAGCCATCAATAAGTGGAATTCCATCTTTCCACTACTGAAGTAGTTGTAGCTTAATTCGTATTAACTATAATGCTTCCATGACTGAAGTTACATGGGCATATTAAGGGTTGCCATTAAATATTTTGTCAAAGAAGTATTCTATTCATATATAAAGCTTACATGTCAGAAAGAAGAAGATTAAGATCTTCTCCCCACCTGCTGAAGTAAATGGATCTTTGCTGTGCTTTTACTAAATGGTGGAAAATAGTGAACTAATGAAGCAAACCACCCAGGCAGAACCACCATACTTATGCCCACCAACCTATTTAGATTATGATAATGATTGATGATGATATTTATTTATATCACACCCTTTTCCCAAAACTCAGGGTGGCTCACAACACTAAAAATCAGTAGATTAAGCTGTAACATTAAAAAGTACATTTTATGATCATTATATTAGTATAGTATACATTTCAGTGTAAATCATTATATTAGTGTAGTATACAATGGAAACAGTCTCTTTTGTTTCTCCTTTCTCATCCAGGAACCTCTTTCTTGCAAAGCAAGCATCCACTTAGATCAGCAATTGGTGAGGTCCACAGACCCTTGGTGCCCAGTGGCTGTTTTTGAGGAATCACCTTTTGATTTTGATTTTTTTTATTTACAAAAGGCTGCAGCAGTGACTAAAATAACTGGAGGGGAGTAACCCCCCCCCCACCCTCTAGTGTGGGGTGCAGCAGTGCAGTGCAGCCCTCCAAGTCCCTATGGATGGCCAATGCTGCTCTCAAACCTCTGGAAGTTGTCCTCCCCTGATTTAGGTGACACGTCAAAAGTAGAAGGGATGTAAATTCCTGCTTAGCTTGGCAAGTTTTCTTATGATTTCTTATCTTTAAAATACCAGCAGCTACCACATACCCTGCCTTTCTCTCTTTCTGAGCTTTTAAATATTCTTTTTGAGCAAAGTGGTCTTCACTAATCATTAACCCACATCTGACCCACTTATTACCTTGATGATTCTCAAACAATCTACCTATTCATTTTTATTGCCTCATCTGTTCTGTGATCATGCATGGTAAACTTACAGTTAGATGACCATGAGAGCACAAATTTGTATAAATTAAGTAAAAATCTGGTAAAGCCTTCAACCATTTGAGAGAGTACACATGTCTACCTTATGTAGAATTGCATATACTGTATATTCCTAAATCCAATTTGTAGTCGAAGCTGAGACAACACTTACATATGTTGTAGTTGTTGCTGTTGTTGCGTGCCTTCAAAAGTAATTTATGACTTATGGTGACCCTAAAGTGGACCTGTCATGGGGTTTTCTTGGCAGGTTTCTTGGGGGGACTGACATTGCCATCCTCTGAAGCTGAGAGCATGTGACTTGTGCAAAGTCACCCAGTAGGTATATATGGCCAAACCAGGATTAGAACCCTAGCCTCCAGAGTCATAGTCCAACACTCAAACCACTACACCACACTGGCTCTCTGGCACGTATACATACATGCCATTAATTCAGTGGGTTCTATGTTATTTGAGACATAAATTTAGATACTGGTAAATAATTTTTATTTTTACAATATTTACAATATTTGCAGAGAGATGGTTACATTTCATTCGTATATGTATCAGTCTATGCAATTTAAACACGATGATTCATGAGTTATTTTCACATGAGAAAACTGAGACATTAACAGATGTTACAATAAAGTTTATCTCGACTACCTTGAATCCCAATTTTGGGAGAAAGGCAGCAATATAAACATAAATATAAATAATAAATAATAAGATTACAGGATAACCACTGTTTCACTACCATCTTACTTTAATATTGCTATGACATAAAAAGATTTCCTTTGTGTACAGCAGGGGTAGGCAACCTAAGGCCCGGGGGCCAGATGCGCCCCCCCGAGGCCTTTGGACTGGCCCCAGGCTGGTCCTGCTGCCGCCGCCGCCCACCATGATATTGATTATTGATTATTGTTGTTATTACTTGTTGTTGGGTTTTTTTGGCAAAATCTCCACAGGGGTTTTGCCATGGCTTTTCTGGGGCTGAGAGAGTGTGCATGCATATTTTTAAATATTTTTTAATTTTTTAAAATTTATTTATTTATTTATTTTTGGTGTTTCAGCCCCCCAATTGTCTGAGGAACAGCAACCCAGCCCCCAGCTCAAAAAGGTTGCCTACCCCTGGTGTACAGTCACCACACACTGTAGTTACTTATGTATGATTTTCTATTGCAATACAGATAATCTGTCTATGAAAATATGCCCATTCCCCAGTTGTATCATTATGAGGAAATGTGCTGCCTGGCAAAAGTCAGACAGAAAAAGGAATTTCCTCCAGGTCATAAAAGACATCAGTGGTAGAAACAAACACAGATGTCCTGATTTACCAAGCCTATGATCTCTGGTTCATACAAGTAGTCAAATTCTGCATAAACCATACCCTACAGATAGTTTTACCTTCAATCTGAGCCTAAGTGTATGACATTGGGAAATCAGCAGAAGTGACAGTATGAAAGAGACTTGGCCTGGGAGGTACAGACTTACAAAAATTTAATTATACAAAACCTCTGAATTCAACACTTTGAACAACCTACGCTTCTGAGTGAAGGGAGATGAAACATGCAACCAGCTGCACATAAATCCTCTGAAGCACTTATGGCTGTGGATTATCGATGCCTACTTGCTTCCACTGAGGTAGCTGGTATGTGAAGCCTTGGCACTCTCATTTTCACTCAAAGCATGTATTTATGGATGAGATTTCTGCAGGGAGTATTAGGAAGCTAGAGTAGAAAGTAGGGCAAGGTATTGCCTAAATAAATCAAACCTTATTAAGTTTTCTGGTTGCATAAGTTTATACTAATGAAGTAGAAATTTATTAACAGAAAAATAACATAGTTCTGAATAAATTGCTAAAACCTATACAGATACTTGGCTATGAGACCAGTTACACTGAGTAAGGCCCTTGCAGGTGGAAGGAGGAGCAGAAATACACCCCTCCCTAAGCTGAGGGAAATGGTGGTGTGACTACATGGCACTCCCACATATTAAAAGAAGCAAAGGCAAAGCTGAATTAGATGGGTGTGAAAATTCACACCCTGACATTTCTTGTTGTTTTAAGAAGAATTTGTACAGATAAAATCCATTAAGAAACCAGGTATTGTCTTTTATAATAAGTGTCCCAAATAGCTTTTCTTTAATGCAATTTCTAAATCTCAATAAAAGGAATATAATAAAGCTCTGCCTTATAACACTGAGCACAAACCTAATTGTGTCTCCTAAAATTACTGTCAACAAAGTCTGATCTAGGCAGATGTGCTAGTTATTTGCCTATGTCAAGCAAAAGTTAACTTACCTAAAAAATCACTGTAAAGTACTTGTTCTAAGTCTCCAAGCATTGTTATTATAACATCCTCATCAAGCTGAGCAGTTCCCTCACGTAAGCAACCTTCCTCTTCTTCTACCCACTTCTGGCTGGTAAAATTTAGCTGAAAGGGTGCATTTGCACCACCCAACTTGCTCCTTTCTCCTGGGCCAGATTCTTCTGTTGGGTAGCCTTTGAGCCTTTTGCTTGGTTTTCTGTTTCCAACAGGTGGAAGCTCTTCCATTTCCGAGGTTGACTTGTTGCTGGCATAGTAAAGGGAGTGTGCTGATTTTGACAGTGCCTTGGAAAGCAAGCCTCTGCTTCCAGGTTCTCTCTCCCTTGAATGATGAACCTGGCTGGACCTGGAGGCATTTCCAAACCAATTTTCTCTGCATGAATATCGTCCTTTTTCACCCTCACTCAGAAGAGTAAGATTGGTCAAAGATTTCTGTTTCCGAAGACAAGCACCCCCATTTCTTGCATCCTTTCCTTTGAACACGGAGAGCTCAGCTGGTCGTTGCATAGTTTTAGCCAATGGTTTGCTTCAAATGATGCTTCACATTTCCTAGATGCTCAGGAGACAAAATCTTCAAGCTGCATCAGAAGCTAACGTTTCAGCAGCATATGATTTATACACCATGCAGCTCTTCTCTCCGCCAGTACAAAAAAGAGAGAGAGCTTAAGCATCCAGTGTACATGCTGCAAACGACTAGACAGACACAGTGTTTTTTGTCTGAATTTATGTCACTTTTGATGTTAAGCCAGTTCTTTCCAGTCCTGTTAATCTGCAATACTTACAGTCATTTTACTTGAATTTCCTTCACAGAGAAGAGAGTTGATCCAGCACAGAAGTAATCCTAAAAGCCAGTGATGGTTTCTTCTCTATCCAATCATCAGTCTCATCAGCTAGAGGGCCCTGCATCCTTCTTCCACAGCCGCTATAGTCTAAAATCCAAAAGTACAGCACAAGTGCAAACGAACATGCTGCTTCCACACTCCCTCACTAGATCATGACTGATTCCTGTGCACAGCTCTACTTTAGATGGGCTGAAAGAAATGCAAGTGCAGCCAGCACGTCAGAGCTCAATAAGAAATTAACCAGCGAAGCAAAGCTCAGGAAAAAGCTTCCTTACATTTTAGTATTCAACCTGCATTCCCAGATCTCTGACTGTTCTCTGCTACTGCAGTGGATGCTCCTGGCTGCCATGGCAGCAAACAGCTTGACAAATTAAACCAGAACGTCCCAAACCTCTGCCCAGTTTTGCACTTTTGAGGGTTTCAGGACACAGCCTAAGCTCCATGGGGATGCCCCAGCATAAGCTTTAGTACACTTGAAGATTATCTTCCACCCCCCACCCCCACCCCCCTGTAAGCTAAGATTTGGAAAACTACTTCTTTCTTGCCAGTTACTCCAAGGGAAGGAGTCTAAAGCAAATTCACAAATGACTCTCAAATCTTGCTGTGTATGTTGAATAAGCCTCTTCTCACAACACAATTTTAAAAAATCAGGAAGAGAACTATTCATTATTCTTTTATTTGGAAAGAAATACAATACAATACAACAAATTCATTTCCATCTTGAAAGCAACTTGATGCTTAAGATTTATGAAGCTTTAAGGAATTATTTAAGAAAAGCTAGTTTTTGCAATCTTCTAGATAAAAAAAAAAGCTTGCTATATATAATGGATTATTAGCTCCTCAGAAAAACTTTTCTGTTTTTGTACAAAAGAAAAACATGATGTGTAAGCATACACATACAAAGAGAGAGAACATACTAATACTGTAAGGAAAAGGAAATTGATGATGGCAAGGTAATTTCCACCCAAAAATAGAATTTTAGGAGATTATCACATTAATAAATAAGACGGATTATCTATTCCTAATAAGGGACAAATACTGGATATAGCCAAGTATTATCGCATGGATTTTGCCACCATTGCTGCCTCCCAAAAACATCCATACAAAAGGCCAGCTAGAATCCACCCTTAACTGTCTGTTTTTTATTTTCAGGAGCTTCCCGGCTTGGCAAATCGGCCGGCTGAGGGTGGATTTTAGCTGGGTTTTTGCATGGATGCAGTCGGGAGGCAGCAACAGTGGCAAAATCCATGTGATAATGCCTGGCAGCATCCAGTACCCATCCCTAATTTGGAAGAGGTAAGCCGCCTTATTTATTAATGCTTCAATCTCCTCATAATTAAGAATTGTGCTACATCTTTTGACAAAAAGTGGCAACAAAGGTTACTATGATCTCATCTTTGAATAGAGATTCATACACAAACAGGAAAAATATCTAAAAAGCATTTATCTGCAAAATAAACAACAACAACCCACACTTCTTTCTGCAGGTGAAGAAGTAAAATGGACTGATTATTTGCACTTTAACTCTTATGACAGATGCAAACCATTTCAGTGGCTTGGTTTAGATCCCAATCCGTTGTTTGAAATTCATTTAAGAACCAATTTCATCTTGATAGCTATTATATACTGCTTGGGCATAATGGGAACAAATTAATCGAAGTTATGATTAGGACTCTCGCTTGTGGAATGTCAATGAAGGAAGATGTCATGGTAAAATATGTTATGCATTTTAATATATATATATATATATATATATAGAGAGAGAGAGAGAGAGAGAGAGAGAGAGAGAGAGAGAGAGAGTTTAAAGTTGTACATCCAAAGAAGAGCATAACTGAAAGGCAAATTAAGCTGCAATAACATATTTGGCTTTCAGAGAGACATTAGAAGAGAAGGAGTAGAAAATACCATCCAAGATCATGAGTAGGCATAGCCTGCCTTGCTTGTTTGCTCCTTTTAGTACACGATCCATATACCTGCTAGTGCAGTAAAAATAATGACTACTTCAATAAACCCAGTGAAGCAAAGTATAGTCTATCTCTCTGAATAGCTTTTCTGTATTTGAAAAAGCAAAAATAAAAAAGGTAGTGGGAAATGAAGCTTATACTTAAAGGTGGTGGGAAAAGAAGTCTCAAAGTTTTTGTTCCTTATTTTTTCTTTTTCTTATTCTTATAACGCCTCTATATGTCAACATAATAAATTCAATATAGCAGAAATTGAGCATTTATATTATGCATGTAAAACAGAAAATGTCCTGGG